GCTTTTTTAAAAGCAGAAGGGCGGGCTAAAAACAAAAAAACATGTGGAAACTTACGATTGCTTCACGTCCAAATCGCTGGAAAAGGGTTCGTCCTTGATGCTGTGGACTCCACCCAGGCACCCCGCTACAGCCCTGATGGACATAGGTCAAAATTAACACATTTGTTCCAGAAACTTGACGGGTAGGCAGGGAGATACTGCGGAGGGTGGCCCTTTCGAGGACGAAAAGCACACCACGATGCAGCAGAGAAACTTACCAGCTCGGCCCGTCGTCGTGGCGGGTCTCCTCTGCTTTCCATTCCATGTCGAACAGTCCTCGACGAATGCAGCACACTAACTGAAGCCGCGGCGTTGGCGACGCGCGTCCAGCGACACCTGCACAAGGAATGTCTGAGATGGCGCCTAAGCCGCGTACCGTTGTTGGCGTCTTTTCATGACCTCCCTATTGTGTCGAATTGTAAAGCCCTATTATCGCGGAAAGACCGGCGGATTGGAAGTGCTAAGAAGGATGCGGGGGGTGGGTATTACGCCTCCCCCAGCGTGCGTACTACGGCCCTTGGGCCCGCGAGAGCCACTACTGGCGTAACGGCTCGTACGCGCCATACGCGAGGAATTTCCAAGTTCACTCACCTGCGTACTGCCCCTGCCCGCGCCATTGCATCATCTACTTCACGTAATATGGGCGGGTCATTCAGGCCCATTACCGCACTGCTGCCGGCACTCACTTCATTCCTCATGACGAACGGCTGGCCCCAAGGGGACGTTTTACTGTCCGAACGATACCGAACGACGAAATAATTATAATCTTCGAAGCGATAATGAAGTATTGCTGCTAGGTTATGAATCGCGTCGGCCACGGCACTGAATGAATTAGAAGACGGAGGCGAGTGGTGCGGTAGACCACGCATTGACAACGCGGGGTCATAGGAGGCTAAAGTATGAAAAAGTATGAAAAGTTACGCGTCTGTAGTCTCGCACGAGGGGCATCATCGCAATCGCTTCGCTCCTCTGTTATCTTTGACTGGTCATGCCATGTTTTGGAAACAGAGAGGTGTTTAATCTAAGGTCGCTGGTTTGTTTTTAGTTGGTTTCACACTAAATCTTTTGAAAAAGCTCGGAGAAGAAAAACAGGTACGTTTAATGGTGACTGTAACGTGTTGTGAACCGGTCGCGCGGAGGGAAAGTGCAACTCGGATGATTCATGTCCAAATGTAAATGTAACCTGCAATTCTTTGTGGTGTTTGCCTATTAATTTGCAGATGGCCACTGCTGCAGGGCATGAGTGTGCGGGAGAGTGCCGTGTGCTGGTTAGAGTGGAAAGTGGTGATGACGCTGGTGACGTGCTGATCTTGGACAGTGTGGACTGCAGGAAATATTATCATGTTAGTGGTGAAGATGTATCAGTCCCACTGATTTTTAGTACGGACCCGAGTCTTGTAATACCATTGACGTACTGCACCGCGTTGGCATGGGGAGGTACGCAAATCATACGCAGCGACACGATTATTGCCGGTTTTTCAATGTGCTACATTGTTCCCTCTTGTTTACAGCAACAATGCAGGAATTACGAGGAAACGCTTATGACTATGTCGAAGAAGTATCAAGAATACATGGGCAATGTGTGAGTGAGGGTCTTGCTGCTTTGGGCCTCCCTGTGTCAGCAGAATCACAAGTGGAGGTGTATGGTGATGAAGGCGATGAGGACGATGATCTTGGAGAAAGTGATCTCCCATGTTCCAGTAGTAACAGCAGCGTACTGGAGGATGGCAAGGAATGCGCCCCTGCTGGTGCCGAATCAGAAGTGGATGAGTTTGAGTTGCCACCTGAGCCGCCAGCCCGGACCCCACACTCCCCACCATCTTCAGCAGATGAGTTCGATATGTATATGTATGAAAGAAAGCTAGCTAGATTCAGGCCAAAGGAGGACTTTGATCTTCCACCTCTCCCGCCCTCCAAAAAAAATGCCAGAAAAATTGGAGATTCTGACGAAGATATGGATGATTTTGACATTGAGTTTGAGGAAACAATGCGGCAGAAGAGAGTAAGACAAGGGGGAAGCAATGTCAGAGATGTTTAACCTTCCACCATTAGGGAATGTGTCAACTACCACAGTATGTAAAATAAGATTATCAATAGTTGTGTTGTGTACTTCTTGTTGTCCTTCTGGCTTTCATTTGTAATTTTATAGATAGACTTGTTCATAACAAAGTAAAAGTTGTGCTATCCATGAACGGGTTGTAATCTAATAATTGTTCAAAAAATAGAGGCCAAATATTTCCTCAAGTGTTCTAAATTGATATTTTTTTGCTACAATTCTATTGTTGCAATGACTTCCACTTAAAGTTAATTGGGTATGTAAAATAAGATTATCCGTAGTTGTGTTGTGTACTTTTTGTTATCCTTCTTGCTTGTATTTGTAATTTTATAGATAGACTTGTTGATAACAACGTGAAAGTTTTGGTATCCAGGAACGGATTGTAATCTCATAATTGTTGAAAAAATAGAGGCCAAATATTTCTTCAAGTGTTCTACATTTTTTTTGCTACTTGACAATAACCACATTGTAATAATGACTGTTGACAGCGATGAATTATTGTTGTGCATCAGCATGAAATTAGACTTTATGTGCCCATGTGGAGTCTGATCCACAAATGTAATATTGCATTGACTTCCACTTAAAGTTAATGGGGTATGTAAAATGAGATAATCAATAGTTGTGTTGTGTACTTTATCCTTCTTGCTTTCATTTGTAATTTTATAGCTAAGCCAACGTGGGAGGGTATGTAAGACAAATCGTGAAGCATTTCAAGTTAAGTTGGCATGTTGCGCAGGGAACGTATAGAAATAGAAGTTTGTCTTTAAAGGAATTGAACACCTTTATTTCCACCACTGCACTTCACATGTTTTGCAGCAGCACGTCACAAATTCACAAATTTTAGAGAAGCTACTGTTCACAGAAGTAGAATCGGTTGGAGTGTTTGAAGGTAGTCAGGAAAAAATAATCTTTCATGTTCTTATGATCAGTCTAATAACAGTGACAATAGAACACTTGAACATAGGCAAGTAATATTGAAGCATCTCAATACTATTTTCAGAGAGACAGAGTGAGACAGAACTTGCTCAGTTAAGTGGTCTCTTCTAAAAGTCATGCGTACTATTCTGATTTTTTACATATGAAACATCTGGGGCATGCAATTTCAACATTGCAGTAACACGTGCAATACATAACAAATCCAATAAAATTCAGTCCTTCTCAAGATCCAGGGTGCCCCACGGTCCACCATACGAGTGCCACAAAACCTTACTGATTTCTGGCGGGGCCACGACGCGACATAATTTCCTAGCATGCTCCTTGGTGGGGAACCGCCAAATTTCCATAAAATCAGTTGCAGGGCTGTAATATAAACGCCTGTTGCTGAAGTCTTGCCAGGCTTTATCTAGGTAGTTGGAGAACCATGGAACTACTTCAGCGTGCGCCTCCTCGGTTTCACCTCCCAAGTCCTGTGGAAACATACATAGGTGTCAATGCAATACTTCCTGCAGTTGGACTGCTCATAACTAACTGGTTTTGAGACCTGACTCGACTGGTAAAACATAGGCACTGAACCAACTTTGTTAGTGCCGTTGCCCCTTTCATGTTGCAGTGCGGAGGCGGGGCGGGCGGGGCGGCCCCGCCCCAGTACCGTGGCGGGCGGGACGGG